CTGACATACACAGAATCGTGTACCCTGTCACAATATATATATATATATATATATATATATATCTGTGCTTTATATATCATAGCTTAGCCTACCTTAAACTTGGCTAAACCACTTGCATTAACCTACAGATGGACCCACTGTATTCGATAAGAAAGTGTTGAATATCTCATGTAATTTTTAATAATGTACTGTATTGGAATAAAAAACAAAAATGGTTATACAGAACTGTACTGTATTGATAATACCATTGCCAATGTGTACATGTGAAAGTACACGGGGACAGAAGAATGTTTGAAGAATATACAGTAGAGTACAGTAAACTTAATTGCTGGATGAGGAGGGTGATGGAGATGCTTTAGCGACAGGTTCTTCTGAAGAGGCTTTGAGAATAGCTGGTAGTAGGCACTGAGGCATCAGGACTTTCTGAATGCACCGGGCCATCTGCAGTTTTCATTATAGCAGACAAGAGCATCCTGAATCAATCTGTCAATTCTTGCGAATCTCTCGTAATTGATGTCCATCTCTTCTAACATCTGTATGCCCCCATTGATAGTAGCAAATGCCTCCGCCAATTTCTTTGCAGTAAAATGTTTTGATGTGTCAGGTATGTCTTCTTCATCTGCCTCAGCTGCTTTATTTCTCTCTGCCTCCAGTTCGATCAGCTCCTCATTGGAAAGCTCTTCAACCTCAATGCCAACAAGCTCATGGATGTCCTCTGCATCACTGTCCAGTTCAAGCTGTTTACCAAGTACTAAGATGTTGTTATTGATGATTTCATCAATAGCAGAAACTTGGTTAAAACCTTTAAACGTGTTCACATATGTCTTCACAATCTTTTTCCAAATACCATTCATGCATTGCTGAGTTACTTCTTCCCATGCTGCACTGATGCTCTAGATACTATTGAGAATGTTAAATTCCTTCCAACACTCAGTTTGGCCAGAATCAGTTGCTTCCACAGCCTGCACAAATCTGTGGCATAAATGGTATGCTTTAAGGCCTTGTTCACACCAAGCGCAGAGCAGATCAGTTGCAGACCGGATCAAAACTGCACCCAATATATTCCAATGGCATTTTCTGCTCCAGTTCACATCGCAGCGTGCAGTTCCAGAGCAGGTGAAAAAATTGCACCTTGGTCCATGGGTTGAATGAGTGAGGCTGTGTTTGAAGGCAAGTAAACAACCTTTACATTGTGATGCATGTCACCGATATGTAGTAGATATCCTGGAGCACTGCCCAAAATCAGAAGAATCTTGAATGGGATATTGTTTGGCTTGCAATATTCATTGGCCTGTGGAATAACAGTTTAAAAAAACAGTCCTCAAAACACTGCCAATGTCATCCATGCTTTCTTGTTAGGACGATAAAAGACGGGAAGAATATGCTTGCTCACATTCTTGAATGCATTAGGGTTCTCAGAGTGGTAGGTTAGGAGTGACTAACTTAAAGCCAGCAACATTTCCACCCAGAAGCAGTGGCACAGTCTTTGAATGGCTTGATTACAGGCATTGAGTTGGACTCTTGATGAATGTATGTACGCTACGGCAAGCGCTTCCAGAACAAGCTGGTTTCATCGACATTAAATATTTGCTCAAGCAAATATTTTTCTTCCACAATTATCCAATGCAGCTCTTAAAACACTTCGGCCCCTTATGATCAGCACTTACTGCTTCACTGCCGACCTTCAGATTATGAAAATGATGACGCCTTTTGAAGTGTTGGAACCACTCATGATTTGCTGTAAACTGCTGCGTATGTATGTAGGATCATCAGCACGTCAAGGGTTTCAAAAAGACTTCTTGCCTTAGCCTGGATCGTGAGTAGACTAAGCGGCATATGCTTCTGAATCTGGTCTTCAATCCACGAAAGTAATTTTTCCATCTCATTGATTGGTTCAGCTCTTTGTTCTCAGATGACAGTGGATTTTATCGATGGCACAGATCTCACAGCATCACTAATCCGTTTCTTATCCTTTATGATGGTTGAGATTGTTGATTGCGAGTGTCCAAGGTCCCTTGTGATAGCCATTACAGGTATGCCAGCCTTCATGTTTCAAGATAATCTTCAGTTTCTCCTCAAGACTAATTGCTCTCCTCCTCTTCTCGCCAGCAGCAGGAGACACAGATGGGCATTTCATAGACATGGTGCATAACATCAACAGTATGTACAGTACTGTACAAGTACAGTATCAAAAAAAGTTGCAGCAAAGAACACTTTGGTACAGTACTGTATCTGTTGTACTGTTACAGTATACTGTACACTAGTGACTGCTTGACAGATTGTGGGTCCTCCTGCTCTACTCTACTCCCGTTTTGCTTGTATACACTGGCGACTGTGTGACAGACTGAGGGCTCTGTAAGGGCCCTGTCGCTGCGATCGTATACGATTGATCGTAAAATCAAAAAATTGTAGAGGTGCAACTAAATGGAAATGTTAAAATCGAAGCAAACCCGAAATAAAAAAAACGTCAGGCCGAAACCGAATTTTTTTTATTTTTTATTTATAAATTTTTGTTTATTTTTATTTATTAATTCATTTTTTATCAAATATTTTTCTTTTTTACTTTACTTTTAGGGGCTTTGGGGAAATATTAGGGGTCTAAAACAGACCCCTGATATTTCCCTTTTAAAATAGAAAAAGAGATTGAGAACACAAAGTCCTCAATCTCTTTTTCTGTGTCCCCTGTTATCAATGAACAGGAATCCTCTGAGTGTTCCTGTTCATTGATAACATGAAAAGATACAGATTTAAAAGGAAGAGCAGCAAAGAGAAGGGAAACAATGGATTACAGTAAGGCACACATTACAGTATTGTTTTAGGCTAAAAAAATCTGAGGGTTTAATGTCACTTTAACATACCATATCCTCAATTATGTACAAACACTCAGTGTTCACTGATCGCTGAGTGTGTACTTTGCTCTTCTCTCTGACATGCTGTCACAGGAGACTGATCGAGCAGTGTAGAGAGGAAAGCACAGCCTCCGGTGACAGCGCTGTCTCCGCCCACGCGCTGCTCTGCCAGACTGTGATAGGCGGCAGAGCGGTGTGGGAGGAGACGCCGGCCGCTCACAGCACTCTCCACCGCAGCGCACGGCCAGCTGTCACTTTCTCTTCTCCCCGCTAGGACATAGAGCAGCGCCCAGCATGGAGGAAAGAAATCAGGGATGCGCCGATGTATCGGCAGAAAAATTGCACTTTCTGCATAATGCCAAAAGTGCCATTTTCGGCCGATATATCGGTGCATCCCTAAAAAATTGTAAAACTAACCAACTTGTCCAAGGAGCATCTGTATTTAACCTGTATTGGAAATGACACAGGAAATCAATTTTCTACAGGTAATAATTCCACACTTATTGCTTCAGGTTGCATAAAGTAAACCCTTTGTCTACCATCCATACAATTTTTTAATTTTAAATGCTGTAAAAAGTGATGTCTAATTGCTACAACATATGCATAGTGGCAATCAAATCAGCTTCCATTTTCAGTTCTGGCTGAAAGGAGGCCAACTACCAGATTTAGCGGCAGCTCTAAGAAAAAATAAGTGAAAGTTTATTTTCGAATGCTTAGGAAATGATAGGTGGAAAATGAAAGTGGTTATAACTTGTCTGGGGCAGGTGTCTCTCAGCTTTATAAAAGATGCCAATTGGACTACATCAAACGGTATAACAAATGCCTTGCAGCACTGGAGTCCTTGGTTCAAATCATGGTCAGGACACTATCTGCATGGAGCGTGCATATTCTCCCTGTGGTTGTGTGGGTTTCCTTCGGGTACTCCAGTTTCTCTCCTCGCTCTCTCCCTCTTCTGGCTGTCTCTCTCCTCTGTCACTCTCCCGGCCGTCTCTCCTCTGTCACTCTCCCGGCCGTCTCTCCTCTGTCACTCTCCCGGCCGTCTCTCCTCTGTCACTCTCCCGGCCGTCTCTCCTCTACCACCGCAGCGCACGGCCAGCTGTCACTTTCTCTTCTCCCCGCTAGGACATAGAGCAGCGCCCAGCATGGAGGAAAGAAATCAGGGATGCGCCGATGTATCGGCAGAAAAATTGCACTTTCTGCATAATGCCAAAAGTGCCATTTTCGGCCGATATATCGGTGCATCCCTAAAAAATTGTAAAACTAACCAACTTGTCCAAGGAGCATCTGTATTTAACCTGTATTGGAAATGACACAGGAAATCAATTTTCTACAGGTAATAATTCCACACTTATTGCTTCAGGTTGCATAAAGTAAACCCTTTGTCTACCATCCATACAATTTTTTAATTTTAAATGCTGTAAAAAGTGATGTCTAATTGCTACAACATATGCATAGTGGCAATCAAATCAGCTTCCATTTTCAGTTCTGGCTGAAAGGAGGCCAACTACCAGATTTAGCGGCAGCTCTAAGAAAAAATAAGTGAAAGTTTATTTTCGAATGCTTAGGAAATGATAGGTGGAAAATGAAAGTGGTTATAACTTGTCTGGGGCAGGTGTCTCTCAGCTTTATAAAAGATGCCAATTGGACTACATCAAACGGTATAACAAATGCCTTGCAGCACTGGAGTCCTTGGTTCAAATCATGGTCAGGACACTATCTGCATGGAGCGTGCATATTCTCCCTGTGGTTGTGTGGGTTTCCTTCGGGTACTCCAGTTTCTCTCCTCGCTCTCTCCCTCTTCTGGCTGTCTCTCTCCTCTGTCACTCTCCCGGCCGTCTCTCCTCTGTCACTCTCCCGGCCGTCTCTCCTCTGTCACTCTCCCGGCCGTCTCTCCTCTGTCACTCTCCCGGCCGTCTCTCCTCTGTCACTCTCCCGGCCGTCTCTCCTCTCTCACTCTCCCGGCCGTCTCTCCTCTGTCACTCTCCCGGCCGTCTCTCCTCTGTCACTCTCCCGGCCGTCTCTCCTCTGTCACTCTCCCGGCCGTCTCTCCTCTGTCACTCTCCCGGCCGTCTCTCCTCTGTCACTCTCCCGGCCGTCTCTCCTCTGTCACTCTCCCGGCCGTCTCTCCTCTGTCACTCTCCCGGCCGTCTCTCCTCTGTCACTCTCCCGGCCGTCTCTCCTCTGTCACTCTCCCGGCCGTCTCTCCTCTGTCACTCTCCCGGCCGTCTCTCCTCTGTCACTCTCCCGGCCGTCTCTCCTCTGTCACTCTCCCGGCCGTCTCTCCTCTGTCACTCTCCCGGCCGTCTCTCCTCTGTCACTCTCCCGGCCGTCTCTCCTCTGTCACTCTCCCGGCCGTCTCTCCTCTGTCACTCTCCCGGCCGTCTCTCCTCTGTCACTCTCCCGGCCGTCTCTCCTCTGTCACTCTCCCGGCCGTCTCTCCTCTGTCACTCTCCCGGCCGTCTCTCCTCTGTCACTCTCCCGGCCGTCTCTCCTCTGTCACTCTCCCGGCCGTCTCTCCTCTGTCACTCTCCCGGCCGTCTCTCCTCTGTCACTCTCCCGGCCGTCTCTCCTCTGTCACTCTCCCGGCCGTCTCTCCTCTGTCACTCTCCCGGCCGTCTCTCCTCTGTCACTCTCCCGGCCGTCTCTCCTCTGTCACTCTCCCGGCCGTCTCTCCTCTGTCACTCTCCCGGCCGTCTCTCCTCTGTCACTCTCCCGGCCGTCTCTCCTCTGTCACTCTCCCGGCCGTCTCTCCTCTGTCACTCTCCCGGCCGTCTCTCCTCTGTCACTCTCCCGGCCGTCTCTCCTCTGTCACTCTCCCGGCCGTCTCTCCTCTGTCACTCTCCCGGCCGTCTCTCCTCTGTCACTCTCCCGGCCGTCTCTCCTCTGTCACTCTCCCGGCCGTCTCTCCTCTGTCACTCTCCCGGCCGTCTCTCCTCTGTCACTCTCCCGGCCGTCTCTCCTCTGTCACTCTCCCGGCCGTCTCTCCTCTGTCACTCTCCCGGCCGTCTCTCCTCTGTCACTCTCCCGGCCGTCTCTCCTCTGTCACTCTCCCGGCCGTCTCTCCTCTGTCACTCTCCCGGCCGTCTCTCCTCTGTCACTCTCCCGGCCGTCTCTCCTCTGTCACTCTCCCGGCCGTCTCTCCTCTGTCACTCTCCCGGCCGTCTCTCCTCTGTCACTCTCCCGGCCGTCTCTCCTCTGTCACTCTCCCGGCCGTCTCTCCTCTGTCACTCTCCCGGCCGTCTCTCCTCTGTCACTCTCCCGGCCGTCTCTCCTCTGTCACTCTCCCGGCCGTCTCTCCTCTGTCACTCTCCCGGCCGTCTCTCCTCTGTCACTCTCCCGGCCGTCTCTCCTCTGTCACTCTCCCGGCCGTCTCTCCTCTGTCACTCTCCCGGCCGTCTCTCCTCTGTCACTCTCCCGGCCGTCTCTCCTCTGTCACTCTCCCGGCCGTCTCTCCTCTGTCACTCTCCCGGCCGTCATCGCCTAGCCATCCCTCCTCCCTCACTCTCCTAGCCATCTCTCCTCACTCACTCTCCTAGCCATCTCTCCTCACTCACTCTCCAGTCTGTCCCTCCTCACTCTCTCTCCTGGCCGTCTCTCCTCACGCATCCTCCTGGCTGTCTTTCCCCGCTCTCTTCTGTATATTCTCCCCTTTTAAATTATCATTTGCATAATTTTTTTAAATTATGGGTGCAAGTGGGGGCCTCAGGTTGAGTTTTGCCTAAGGCCTCACAAAGTCTAGAGCCGACTCTGCACATGGTGAGGCATATCATTTAAAATAGGAGTAAAAATATTGCTATAACAGGTATATGTATTTTTTAGATGATTAGTGCACTGTTATTATATAAGAATGGGGTTTAAGGATGGGCGAAGGGCTATGGAATACAGGATAATATTGAGGAATCCAGGCCCTATAGAGGAAAGGGGATATAAAGGAAAGGAGAAAAAAAAGGGGAGGACAAAAAAAAAAGAGAACACATTTTCAGAAAGGAATTAAATTACCCCCTAGAGCAAATGCCCCTAATTGGGAAGAGATCAGAATAGGGTATGTAGGGGAGGGGGAAAATAGGCATCATAAGTAGGGTAAAGATGGGATAGGAGCAGTTGTTTGGGCCAGATCCACCTGATAGGAATAAGCCAATTTAGCTGACGTATGCTCAGGGGGGAAAGAAGGAAGCCACAAACTATATTAGGTGC